CCACTATTACATTTTAAATAGGGTAACTTGTAATCTGTAACCTATTACATTTTCAAAGTAACCTTCCCAACACTGGTCGCTGCTAACGTCTGCTTGGAATGCTAGCCTACACCGGATCTACACTCAAAGTGACGCACCGGTGCCACCATGGAAGTTTCACCTCCTACCAGACAAACGCGAGACAAGGGCTGAAACACAATGCTACATTGCTGTTATATGTACAAAAAACAAAAAAATCTTAGCAACACCAAACTGTGAACGTTAGTGTAAGCATGTATACAGGAGAGAAATATAATCATTATACCAAATTCTTTAAGATCATATTAAAATAAGAGGTTATAACATGCAAATAACTTCTCAGGTAATGATAAGAGTGTAAGGTAATATTCAAAACAGGCTAAGAATTGATTAAAAGGTGACCCACAACAGGCCATAAAAGTCTGACATAAAACTAGACTGACGATGTTAGCCATTAAAGAATAAAATATGAACACAGTTTATTATCACTGCAGGACACACTCAAACAGGACATTCATAAAGTCATAAAAGTATTTAAGCCTATATATCTACAGCACATACATTCATTAAATAGAATGACATTAATGTGGTACAAATACAGTGACGACTGTGAGCATGAATAGGGTCAAAGTTGTAAAGTTCAGCCCAGAGTTTGATCACACTGAAAAGCTGTTGTCATTTTAAGTGTCTCAAATATTTTTCCCAAAGCTAATACACCCACCACCACAACAGGAAGTAATAATGTCCAGTAGCGTGACCTCCAGTTCCTCCTCAAACAGACACAGGAAGCTATGACCCAAAGGGTCAAGGACATTGCTGTGAACAACTGATTACATTTCCCAACATGCACTAATGTGCTTCTCTGTCAAAGAATGGAAAATTACTTGCAATGCCACACAATGCACATTCACACACTGACTGACATGTTAAGAGCCGGCAGTGTAAGGCAGTAACCTTCTGAGTTGCTCATACTGTTTGCTCTGTCATGGTTATTAAGCACTACTGTTCAGAGCAGCTCCTATTAATGCCCCTACAGCCAATAATATTTTACCCATGATTCACAGAGATAAGAAGAAGAGGAAGAGTGAGAGAAAGAGACGTTTCCTTGACATGGGCTCTACTAAACAAACATTAATAACTCGGAGACAGATGCTAAGTGATTAAACAGGCAGGAATGAAATAATGCATGAAATGAAATAAAGAGACCGGACTGCAGATAAGGCCACTGAAGACAGATATTACATGATGAGAGATTGTCTTGTGTTTACTCTGCAGGCTGAAATGGACTCTGCATGCTGTACATCTGAGTAAAACAAAACACTGAGCAGAAAATAATGCAGGGTGGGACTTGATTTTATCCGCTGGGATTTGATTGGACTGAGAAAAGTTAGCATGCGGTGCTATGATATTATTGGTTTATATTATTTTTTCCTGCTGCTCATGGCTTTGTTTACATCAGAAGAAAAAAAGAAATTGGAAAAGATTGTTTTTTTTTTTGGGGGGGGGGGATTATAACTTTTATTCAGTATGCATTCAACTGATCAAAAGTGACAGTAAAGACAATGGCTGCTGAAAATTCAGCTTTGCCATCACAGGAATCAATTACATTATGTACCTACTAGGGATGTGCATCTCATGTCTCAGGCCGATACGATACGCATCTCGATGCATAGCCAACGATACGATACATTAAAGATACATATGAAGCAGCTACCGATGCGATGCGATGCGATGCGATACGATTCCCCTCTATTACGATGCAGTGCGATCCGATTTCGATTCGATTCAACCCATTGCGATTCGATGCAATATGATGCAATGGAGAAAATATGATCACTTTTAATGCCTCGAGGCCTGTTTCATAAAACAAGTTAACCAAATAAGCCAGGCTTATTTCAGTTAGTCTGACTCATTGTCA